AAGCCAAGAGACCAATTAGCAGGCTAGCTACTGTTAGAACTCAGGCGAACAATGACAGGACCTTGGCCCAGGGCAGGACTGGTGAAGATGATAAAATATCGGCCAGATTCTGGCATCTCCTGAAGACAGATGTGACAAGATGTGTTTGGTAACTGGTTAGTGCACGTGGTAACAAAAATCAGAATGATTTTCTTTCTTCCTATGGCTCACTCATTTACTCCTGTTGAGTCTGTTGCAACTCCTAAAGGACCCTCAACTGGATTTCTGAGGGTGTAAATCTTACTAGGAGGAGACCGCCCAGCTTTCTCCTTCAAGCCACTGGAAGATTTGCACCACCAGAAATTCTCAGAGACAACATACTGCAGAGTACTTGATTAGGTAGCAATGAGTCAAAAACGGAAATTCAATTCCCAGGCAAGAACTGCCAAGGGTGACTTCCCAATGTCCCTCTGAAAACAGGCATCATAAGAGGACTTGGCAAGGGTGAGGATGACTGTCCCTAACCACATCAACATGACCAGAAAGACAGCATCAGGATCCACTCCTTCCACAAGGACCTAAACATTCCAGACAACTTATATCATTGAACATTTGCATACCAATTAAACAGATTAATCTGGTGGGCTGCCTCAGTGCTTCTCAAATACAGCAGCAGCTTGGTCTGAGAAACAGAAAATGTATCTGTAGATACAAGTGCTAAAAACTGGAAGAAGAGGGTGGTTAAAGATAAGCTCCTGTCGTCTAGCAGGGAGACCAACATTGAAACAGTGGGATTCTAATGTGCCAGCTTCCCCACTGAATTATGTATTTAGAGCCACATGGAAACAGCTTCTCTGAGGGCATGGAGAAGAGGTATTCCAATAGTATCTCAAATAAAGAGGTATTATTTCATCTGAATCATAAGAATGTGGTTGATATTTGTCAGGCAGACAGAGGTGAAGGCATGGCAGCAGCCTATTCCATGCCAAGAGGCTGATCTATAACAAGACTGAGAGAACACAGCTCCTTGAAGAGCTACAATCAGTGGCTGGAACACCAAATACACTCACTTGACATTGAAAATGACAATTACAGCTACCATTTGTTGAGCTCTCACTGGGAGTGAGAGGCACTGTTCTCAGCATCTTAAATGAGTAACATTCAACATGATTCTCTTCACAGAAGAAGAAACTAAGAGACATAAAAGGTTAGGGAACTGGCTCAAAGACCTGACAGCTACTTAAAGGTGCAGTGAGGACTCAGCTCCTAAAATTCTAGAGCCTGTTCTTCCCCCAGGCAAAGCTAAGTCAAAGGGGAGGCAGGTGAAGATGCCACCCAGGCTGGAGTCAGGTGACAACCAGCTCTGAAATCCCAAGGGTTTCTAAGAGAGAAGGAATCAGACTTGCATCCTTGGTGCAAGCTCTGAAGATGAGTCAGAGAAGACAAGAGCAGAGCAAGACCACTCTGAAGGCTGCTCAATAATCCTGGCCAGAAATGACAGGGGCCTGGACAAAGGCAGCAAGAACAGAGATGAGCTGCCAGTGAATGAAGAGAGGGGGAACAGAAAAGGAAGAGTGGGTGTTGGAAATAGGGAGACAAAGCACGTACGTTGTCTGTAAGGATAATATACTTGGGAGTTATCTGAAGAGGTCTATCAGGTAAATTAACTGAAAGGGCAAGAGCTCAAGAAGAGAACTAAGACAGAGATTCAGGTTGGGGCAAATGTTTTTTGGTGCACGTGTGTGTTGGGGAACTCCCAGCTCAGAGGACTAGTATCATCTGAAGATCTTTCCCAGCCATCCTCAAAGGGGGGATTTTTTTTTTTTGAAACCTCCTTGTTTTCCCCACACTAGATTTGAAAATCATCTTTGGGAGAATATACTGGAACCCCTCCAGAGTTATTCAGGGTCACTCCTGGTACTGCTGAAGCACCTGAAGTGGTAAGTTGTCAAGGATTTCATTCTACCTGGATCCACAAACAACATCTAAGGTAACAGCAGTCAAGAAATCAAAAGACATGCAGACATGTTGCATTGGGGAAATCTGCTGTCAAGGACCTCTCCAAAGTGCAAAAGAGCAAGGATGTCAGTTTGAAGACTAAGGTGAACCCAATCCAGGCACTGGGATTTTCAATTGCTTCCTATGCATCTGAAAGCTGGATGATGAATAAGGATTAGAGAATAATCAGTATCAGCCCTTGAATTTCCCAAGGACCGTCAAAAGAACAAACATCTGTCTTGAAGAAAGTGCTGGCAGAGTGCTCCTTCCAGGCCATGCTAGTGAAATTTTGTCTAACTTCTTTTGGGCATGTTGTCAGGAGGAGAAAGACAACTCAAGCAGACGTGAGTCCTCAGAGAGAGACATCATGCTGGGAAAGGTAGAGGACCAGAGGGTCAGCAAAAGAGAGGAAGGTCCTCACCAAGCTGGGCTGCCACAGTGAGCATGAGCGGGCTGAACAAGGCAGGGTTCAGATCTGCTGTCCACAGGGTCGCTATGAGTCATAGTTGACTTGATGACACCAAACAACGACAGGCACCAGGGACAGGAATCCTGGTGGTCGAGGGTTCAAGTGCTAGGCTGCTAACTGCAAAGGTCAATGGTTTGAATCCAGCAACTGCTCTGCAGGATAAACGGGCGTGTCAGTCGGCTTCCAGAAAGACTGTTGTGTTCTCTGTGGAATCGGCTGCGACTTACAGTGACCCTATCCTGCACCATCGTCGCCGCCTCCAACATGCTCGAGCCCACCGTGACTTTGGAAATCCTCTGGGGCGGTTCTAGCCCCTCCTGTAAGATCACTAAGAGTCAGAATCCACTCAATGGTGATAGGACAGAGATGGAGTTGGAGGGGGGTGGTTGTTTTGTTAAACTAGCTCAACACACTGTACAGCAAGCCCCAGAGCAGCTGCTGTGCAATTCCATCTCAAACAACCTACAGCTCAAACGCTGGGTTCCTAAAAAAAAATAGCTCTTTGGTCTAACAGTGCGACAAAGACATTGTTTCTATAATATTCTGAGGACAATCTGAAAGTGACTCGCAGCCAGAGAACATTTTCAGCAAACTGTGAGGAAGGGCACCAAAGCGTTGTGCTCACCCACAAGCTTTTACCCAATCTGTTTTTTCCACTTCAGGTAAAAAAACATACAAATAAATGAATGAAATCATAACCCCCTCAGGGATCCTCTTACTGCCAACCCGGTTCCTCAACTTGACCCATAGCTTCTAGGAATAATACCAGATCATTCTGTCACTGAACAAAGAGAAACTTGATTAGCCAATCTGACACAACATCACATTCACCACATCTTCCTTAAGTTTAGAACTGCGACATCCACTTCCTAAACAACCCACCTTGGAAACCCTATGAACTTTGATAAATGATGGTGGTTATAGAAAGGCTGCAGGCCTTTTGTTCATAGGGTTGCTTTGGGTCGTGCTTGACTCAAAGGCAGTCAACAACAGACAACTTAGAGAACTCTAAAGTGGGAAGGATAACAAGAAGTTGGCTTATAAAATCCTAAGGCAGGGAGAACAGTAACAATTAGTTTCCAGGACTCTAAGGCAGAAGAAGTAGTAGCTCAATCCACACTCCCCTCCTCATCCCCATCCCCGGCCCCAGTATTAACATTTTCCACACTCCATACTCCAAAACCTGCTTCATCCCACCTAAACTGCTTCATTATATGCTTCAAGGTACCACGAACAGTCTTACCAGAAGAGGAACGAAAAAGAGTGAATTTTATACTGTGTGTAAATTTATCTTTTTTTTTTTTATTGCCTGAGTCAGGACATCTGACAATTGACTTGAGAAATGAGTTTAATAACATTTACATGTGGGTATTAACTTGAGATAATCCCCAGGTATAATTAATACTTTATGCCCCATCGGAATGATTGGACGTGATGACAGAAATAAAAGTGCTCCCAGAAGCATGAAACGTTTATGGATAAAAGTTTGTACTTTCGGCGAGCTCTGGTGGCCTGGTGGTGGGAAGCTGCACTGCAGTTCCGGAGGTACGCGGTTCAAGTCCACCAGATGCTCTGCTGAAGAAGGAGGAACAATCGCCTCCTGTATCAGTCAGATCCGATTTGACGGTACACACATAAAATAAATAAATAAAAGAAGGCAGCCACCTGCTTTCTCAAAATAAAAAAAAAGTTTGTACTTTCTCCCACCTCTGTGTGCAATGCCATTCTTTTTTTTTCTTTTCTTTACACAAACCTCTTTATTCTCCTAGCATATCATAAACTAGATTAGTGTAGATACTTTACATCTTGGCTAAATTAAAAACCAAAGCAGCATCAACAGACATGTTAAGGAAAGGTGTAAATTAAGTCTGAAATTCCTGAACATGCATCCTTTTCACAGCTCTTGTATTAAAGAAGTCAACTGTTATTGATAGATTGATGATACCTGTCTCTGTGTGTGTGTGTGTGTGTGTCTCTCTCTTTTTCACACACACACACACACACACAATCTCCATCTCCATCTCTTGCAAGCTAGCTCTCTTGCTGCTGAACCAACATATAACTGACCCTCCAGGAATGCCATTCTTGAACACTCCACCTTATTAACAGTAACCCGGCAAGTCTGAGGTACTTGTCCACTTCTCAAAGCTGCTCTGCCACCTTCTCTTTTCTGATCACAAAGCCAGACTCACACTGCTTCCCTCGGAACCGTTCCTGTTTTTATGGGAGAGGGCTTCCCCTGCCTGCTAGATCTCTAGCTCTTCAGAGATCATTTTTACCCCCTCCTCAGTGTCACCCCACAAAGCAGCCTTCCATCACAACGCACTGACAGACCAATGACGGATGTGGCTTGACCAGTATGTTCTAGGCTAAAAATGTATTGTGCAGCCCATTAAGAATTCCATGCATTATACAGCACTGCTTCTAAATGGGCCACCTAAAACGGTGGCTGAAAGGATCCCAAAATAGACATACAGCCCTGCTTTCCAGCTGCCATGCCATTTCTAGATAGGAGCCTGCTTTCAATAATCCAGTTACCTCTCGGATTGGTTACCTGCACCACTGTTGCCAAGCAGGCTGACAAAAAGCGCTTCTGTTCCACTGAAGTTCAAGAAGGACATGGCGTCACCAGGTTGGCGTGAAGTGCTGTGCCTGCAGAGAACAGAGCCCGGCCACCCAGCTGAATGCACATCGTCACCTTTTTCATACTATAACCCCTGCCCAATGAAGGATGTCATCAAGAACCAATCTACGTGGCCATGGGATCCCTGGCAAAAGCCAGCCAGTTGTGGGCTTGCTTGCTTGATGTGCCGGACCCGGCTTCCTGTGGTTGCCACCTCTCCTGCTTTACTGCTGCCTTGTTAACCTGCCTCTCTCTGCCACTCTCCTGCTTTCCCACTGCCCTGTTAGACTTCCTGCACTTTCTATCTCACACCTCTGCCTCCTGAGCATTCACAGAAGGAGGGTGTGCGGAGCCTGGACACAGGTAAAGAGGGCCTTGTCCTGTCCTGTGCCTTCAGTCATCTTGTATATGCCATCAAGGTGACTGGAAAAGGGCTCTTTGCAAATGATGAACACAGGTTTGTCAAGAAATAAATGTCTGTCTTCCTTTATGACACTCTGAAGATGCTCTGTAGTGGATTCAGAACTCTTAGTTCACAAGAGTTCTTTCTATAATCATAGGTCTCGATTTCTATGTTGCTTTCAATATTAATTTCTTCTAAACTCAATGGTAGGGCGCTCTGGCGGTTCAGCAGTATGGAATTACACTGCCAACCCAAAGGTATGCGGTTCAAATCCACCAGCTGTTCCACAGGAGACAGATGGGCAATCTCCTCATTCGATTTACTGCCTCTGAAACTCCGCTGGAGGTTCCGCTACGGGTTGATTCCAATTTGATGGTCTCAACAACAAACTCAACAGTGGAACTCCTCAACAGCCACAGTGACAGAAGTTGGGGAGAGGCTGCCTGAAACACATAGCCAGGAGCATCCGTCTGATTTAAAGCATCACCTCCCATTTTACGCATATGATTTTCAAGAAAGCCATGTGGGGCATTTATAGAGTATGTATGGGGTTCAAGATAAACCTAAAGCAGGGCCTCATGCAAAATTACCAGGCGGTTTGCCTTGTACTTCACCAATGAAGGGAATGAGGATGGCTAAGAAGGGTGGGCCTGATCACCCACTAGCTTTTCTAAGTCTTAGCAGCAGCACACTTGACAGTGGTCTGTTCTGCACATTATCCTTGCAGGGTGCCAGAAAGCGTTCTCAAGGTACATCCTCACCTTCCGGCAGCTTCATGATAGGCTAACTCCAGCAGCTCTGCAGAGGAGTGGGTGGGGTCCCTCTGCCCGCTGCCCTGCAGTTCCGCCATGTTCTGTCGGGTCTGGTGATGGATCTGGATGGCCTCTCCGGATGGTCCTACCCAGACAAAGATCTACTGAGCTTCGAGCCCGCCTGAAAGCTAGTGCTGTGTGCTTCACGCCAGGCTTCCTTCCCTCCAGCTGCTGGGAAAGACTGAATGATGAGCACAGCACAGAGGAACGTGATTCGCAGGCCCCTCCGGCTCCTGTGGGCACTTCCAACACACAAGGAGCCAGCCTGAGCCTGTTTAGTTGGTGAAGAACAGTTCGCATCTACTGTAGGTCAACTGAGGTGCCATGAGGAGCTGGGGAAGAACGGGAGTCCAGGGACCTTCCCAGGAAGATTAACACCAACCAACTGAGAATTGACCCACAGGTGTGCAGTTCAAATCCACCAGCTGCTCCGGGGGAGAAAGATGTACAATCTCCTCTTGTGCGATTTACTGCCTCTGAAGACCCACTGGAGGAGCAGCTATAGATTCTAACTTGACAGTATTCAACAACAATGACAACAACTGAGAAGTGAAAACCTTAAATGACAAGTTCGTGACTCAAAAGCAGCAGAAGACACTTAAGTGCAAACAAGAAACACAAATAGGAGATGAATCAAAATTAGTGAATCTTCTGAAAAGGCTCCTGAGAGGAAGGCCATTTTGAGAGCCGATTGTTGAACAAGCAGGCACTGAAGGAGCGGGGCCTTCGGGAGAGAAGAAATGATATGTGTGAAATTCCAGATGCAGAAGAGGCCAAGCATGTGCAGGAGGCCACAGAATTAGTGCAGGCAAGAAAAAGGCCTCTCAGGAAGAGAGAAAGAGAACAGCAGGCAGCGTAGCAAAGGAAGATCTTCCTGATCAGAAGGCCAGGCAGGCAGGCGAGCAAACCCAAGTAGGCAATGTCTAGGAGAACGTTCCCTCAGTCAACATGTGCATGACGGACGGGAAGACAGAAGGAGGAAGAGCTGGGAGCTTTGAGAGAAGCCTCATAGGGGAATGCTAAGAAGGCCAGTACGGGCAACAATGCAACCAGAGAAACACCAGAAAGAAGTGTGTAGCAGGTCAGACCACGGCAGTGGCAAAAGGGGTCTGGAAATGACTCCCCAAATGCACCCAGATTCCTTTCTCTAGCACCTCACTTTTTTTTTTTTTTTTTTTTTTTTTTTCCCCACCCCCCAGCACCTCACTTTTAAAACATTGCAAAAATGACTGTGGAAAGAAACTAAATGGAAATTTCCAGGCATCCCGCAGGCTAGTTCCCATTAACAAAACCCTGGAGTTCCATTCGTTCGCTCCTTCCCAGCCCTGTAATGGCCCATCAGGCTGAAATTTAATTTTAGCCACAGCTGTACAAAAACCTCCCTGTCATCTCCTTTAGAACACAGATCAAAAAAGGAAGAGTGAGGAACAACAGTGAATTTGGGAGTTGGGGGGGAAGTAGGAAAAGTTGTTGGGTTCCCCCCCCCAGTTGTGAGAGAATGCTGAAAGAAAATAATATTAATGCTATTTAACCAAGGCAAACAATATCACTATGCAGAGAAAGCTGGGGAAGGAAGGGCAACAGGCTTAGGAAAGCAAGGAAATTCTCCAGAAATCCCAGGGTCTTCAGAGATCCTAATAGCCCTGGAACAGGAGAAGCTTATGGGGCAGCAGAGGCCCAGGGAAACTGAGACACTCGGCCAAGGCTGCCTGGTTGACTGGGTACCGAGGCTCGAGGCTCAGAATCAGATGCTCCTTGTCCAGGTTTGTTTCCTGAGCAGCCGACTTACCCACAGGGAAGGTGTGCATCCAGCGCCTTCTGTTGGACGTCAGCTTCATGGGCATTCTTGAGGGGGCGAAGGGGTTGATGAGCGCTCGCTGGGGCGTGTATCCACCTGGCCGGACGTGGAGCATGGACTCAGCGCTGCCTACGTGGAACCTCCCTGGGGCGCTGGAGTCTCGCTGCGGGGGCTCCATCATGTTCTCCAGGACATCTGTCCATTGGCATGGAGTTGAGGCACAAAGAGGAAGTACACAACCACAATGAAATCAAGGGTGAGGGGGAGTAAGGCAAGGCTAACGAGCCTGTCATAAATGCTGTGGAGTGAGAGAAATTAGTAAAACTACCACCCTGTAAAAAACTGAATGTTTGACACTTGGGAAAAGGAATTTCAATCCCGAGACCACCAGAACTAGTGAAGACATATCTAAACCTAACAGGGAGGACCCACTTATCACCTGGAGACCCTGGACTTTGAGATGGACACACTGCTGATGTTGATGTTGTTGTTGTTGTTGTTAAGTACTGTCAAGTCAGAACCAACTCATAGCAGGTGGTTACTGGTTTGGATTCTCCAGCACAGGAAAAAGGTGGCCACCGCCTTAAACACTGCAGCCGAGGAAATCCTAGGGGGAAGCTCAGCTCTGTCCTACCGAGTTGGCAGGGGCTGGAAGATGATCAATGGCAGTATTGTTTAGTGTTTGGTTTAGAGGCCCTGTTAATGCCATGATTAAGCACTCAGCTGCTAAATGAAAGGAGAGCAGTTCAAACCCACCAGCTGCGCCAAGGAGAAAAGACCTGGCAACCTACTTCCTTAACAATTTTGGCCTAGGGAGCCCAATGAAGCCATCTCTGTCATACAAGGTCGCTATGAGTTGGAATTGACCTTACAGCCCAAAATAAGAACAGCATTCAGTTTCATTTTGCTTTGGATCTCAACCCTTCTTGGAATATTTCCAGGAAAATAGAATAAATAATCATGCAAACTTAAAAGTCGCTAAGAATCGGAAAAAGCTAACCTAGAAAATTTCAAATGTAGTCAAATTCTTTTGAATGCAAAACGTAAAGCAGGTGGCACAAGGTTACACTGAATAGCCATTTAATTCTCTTCATTAGAATCACCTTTTTCTATTTTTTTAAATTGTAAATTTTTATTCACTCCTACTTATGAAATTGATAAAACATGCAATCAAGATGCACTGACAATGAGATTCTAACAACTACATTACCAGAATGCAAAAGTTGGATATAGGAAAGATCAGTAGTTTAAAAATATGCCCCTGGGGACAGAAACGTCACTGGAGACTACATAATAGAAGTTTGTAATATCACTGATTTATAAATTACTTCACAGGGCTCAAAAAACCCCAAATCTTTCTTTTTTTCATCCCTTCGAAGTTTCCCCAGGCCTTTAGCATAGTGTCTGTGGTGCCTCAGGGCATGGTAGTGCCCTGCTCTCCAGCCCTGAGTCCCTAGGTGTCCTCACAAACAAGCTGGGTTACAGAACACAGACTTCGCCCTTTGCAATCCTTCTAGGGCAACAGGAATATGTGTATACAACACTCCTGATATGGTGGTCGACGTGGAGGGCACACTTCCATTTCGATAACACTTTTGATTTCATGAAATTAGAGAGATGATGGACGTGGGAGCACGTGACTAGAAGGATTGTATGAGGGAAGCTTGGAGAGGAAAGTTCTGCATACTCATTGTGTGGTGGGCACTTGAGTCTACACAGGGGGTGATCTGCACCCACACACATGAGGGCACATAAAACAGAATCTGAGTAAATTCTGGAGATTATGGCCATGCTAAATTCCTGATATACAGTTATATAAGAAGTTACCCCCAAAGAAAATGAGTAAGGAGTATATATAACCTGCCTGTGTACTTTTTTTTTTTTGCATGGATCCATAACTATTTTGAAGTAAAAACTTTAACAATCAGGAAGGGACTGCGAACTCTAACTATAGGTACTGTTGGATGGGCACAATAAAACAGAGGGAAACTGCACCTACGTGAGCTGGCATGAGACCAGTTAACAGGGGACTGACAGAAGAAATCTTAAAACGGCATCTAGGATAGAGCCATTTCATGGATCGCACACATGGAACTGGTTAAAAGAAACAAACACCTACACCCCAGGCCTAAGAAAAGGTAATGTAATGGGTGAGGAGGGAAAAAAGGTAGCAACAAAAATAGAACAATATACACACGTAACAGCGAAGGGGAGTCATACCTGCCTACCCATTGTGCTGGCATGAAAATCATTTCAACACAGAACTGACACCCCACAGCTGACAACTGCCCCCCACTTCCTATCCCAGCATGAAAAGGAAGCTGGTCCCGCTCAGCCCGCCCCACCTAGGTTTCAGCACGCTGACCTCGTGTGCTGGTGTAGCCCAAGGAGCTGCTGACTTCATACTGGTGCAGGTGGGGATGTGGAATCAGCAGGATGTTGGCGCTCTTGCCCAGGGAGCTGTCGTCAGAGGCCTGGCTCCTCACTTCCTCTGAGGGCAGCGCCCGGCTCGGCTGGGACGGGCTGGAGGAGACATCACAGAAGCTGGCACTCTTCCGGCTGTGGCTGTCCCGCTCTCTCACAGACCTGACAGGCAAGAGATTAGCAGTTACTACGAAGCAATGGACACTGGCCCACTAGCTGTTGACTGCCATCAAGTCGAGCACGACTCATAGCAGCCTTATGAACAAAAGGCCTGAAGCCCCTCTACAACTAACAACATTTATCAAAGTTCATAGAGTGTCCAGAGGCATGTGGTTTGGGAAGTGGGTGCCACACTTGCTTCCAAATCTGTCTTAAACTGGGAGCTCCACCAGTACTGTCCACCATGGGTAACCATTATGGCATTTGACACACCAATGGCACAAGGTTCAGCATCACAGCAAACCCAGGTTACCTTAGAACAGCATATTGACAGAGAGTGCAGTACCACTAGAAGAATATAGTAACAACCAACTTTAAATACAAAGGCCCTCCTCAAGGTTTTGTTGACTCTAAATAAGAGGCTTAAATACAAAAACAACCAATATAGTATGTTCTTGTGTACAGCAGATCTGAATCCTTCCCTGTCCTGAGCCAGTCTCACTAATGCTGACACCTACTTCCATTGCCCCAGTTACTGTATCAATCCATGTCAAGTTCAAAATCCCACACTCAGCACTGGCCCAAGCAACTCTTCTGCCCTCAACATTGTTGTTGTGTACTGTCTGAATATCTGATATCCAATCAATAGGAAAAATCCATTCAAGACAACTGGGAAGCTAGAATATGGGACTGGCTTTTCGATGCTATCAGGAATTAATGCTGATTTCATTATATAATGATTATTGTGTCTGTGATATGTGCACAGTACAGACTGCGAGGATGGTGCAGGACTAATTATGCTATCAATCTGTTAAAACACAGGGTCCCTGTGAGCAGGCCTCAACTCAAAACACCTAACAACTATCTATCCATATCTATATCGGTGTTGTTGTTGTTGATTGCTTTTGAGTCAAGCATGACTCATAGTAACCCTATGAACAAAAGGCTTGAAGCCCCTCTACAACTACCGACATTTATCAAAATTCATAGGGAAGAATGTTACTTAGGAAGTGGATGCCACTCCTGCTTCCAAATCTATATATTTCTCTATATCTATACACACACACACACACATTAAGAGGAGCACTGAATATACCATGGACTGCTAAGAGAACAAACAGGTTCATCCTAGAGAGGGTGAAATCAGGTTGCTCCTTGGAGGCAAGGATTCTGAGGCTTCGTCTGACATACTTTGGACATGTTAGAAGGAGGGACATCATGCTTGGAAGAATGGAGGAACAGTACAAGAGAGGGACACCTTCGATAAGATGCATTGATTCAGTGACTGGAGGAATGGGGGTGGGTGTGTCAGAGGCAATAAGGTGGGCCCAGGATAGAGCAGGGTTCAGGGCTATTGTACATAGGGTCATTATAAGTCACAGGCAACTTGTCATCACATAAGAACAACAACAACAACAACAACACATACATGTATCTGTGGCATCCTTGTTTGTTCTAGATAGATACTGAAATATTTATAGCCGGAAAAGTAAACTAGGATGGCCTGGGATTGTTTTAAAAGTGGGGAAAGTAATAAAACAAGACTGGCAACAACACATTGATAAATGGTCACTATAGTCATGTACTTATGAGGTATTGAACATATTCTTAGTAAAAATGAAAAACAGTATAGCCTTAAAGATAACTAGTAAAACATGTATGGGAACTCAAGGAGGAGAAAAGGGGGAGAGGAGGGCTGAGGATGAGTAGGGGTGGAACCACAGGGCTGCACAGTTTGGTGGATGGAAGAAGTGGGGAAAGTAATTGGGAATGATTTGGGCAAAAAGACATGATAATGAAGGGCAAGTTCCAATGGTGATTAATTTTAAAAAACACAATGCATGAGAATGTATGAAACACGATGTGAATGAAAACTAGTGTGAAATACAATGTATACAAACTTAGTTAAGCAAACCAATTTAAAAACAATAACAACAAAAAAAAAAACCCACACAACAATATAGTCTTTACCTATACAACTTCCTAAGGGAAGAACTCTGGACACGGTTGTTCTGTACCATCAAGTCGGAACCTACTCATAACTGACCCTCCAGCAGGTTTTCAGAGGCAGTAAACTACATGAGAACAAACTCCCCATCTTTCTCCAGGGGGAGAAGATGGACTCAAACTGTGTGCCTTTGGGATTGCTGCATTTCTTCTTACCACCAGGCCACCAGAGCGGAGAGACGCCCATTGGGAAACACAACTTTAGAAG